CATATCTACGGACGATAATGGATATGTCCCCATTCACATGAATACTGTAGTAAATACTGTATGTTGGTCTGCAGTTGGAAATTCGTCTTGAACTGTTCTACGGGGTCTACAGAGAATTTTTGGCCGAGCTTACGGGCTTCGATACACCACATAAAATCCGGACTTGTGCCACATCTGAGCTCTTGGGGCGGTTCATAGATATACTGCAGTTGGGGATTCATCTCTAACTGTGCTTGCCAAACTCTCTGCCTCCGGGCAGTGAGGATCCCCAGATAAGGCTCTGTCGAAGGGCAGAGTCCCGTCTCGGGAAACAGCGACACGACACCGTTTTATACGGTGTCTACGGGAATTTTGGGCCGAGCCTACGGGCTCGGATACCCCACATTAAACTCGGCCTCTACCACATCTGACCGCGAGGGGGCTTTGGCAGACATCCTGTAATATCAGTAACCTTCCCTAGGTTGCAACACTATTTATAAGTAATACAAATAAAAGTTTTGTCAATTAGCTAATTGATGTTACCTTCAACATTCTGAGTCCAGAGTTTCGTAGACGGACCCTCCTATAATTGCCACGTCCACTCGTCAGGGGTTATCATCAAATGATTGCTTATACTTCTCGATTTTTTCTTTTTTATATTCAGTTTACATTGGTGCCATTTTTTTGTCATAGTGTATGTCGGCCTGCGTGTGTGTGCGTACGCCTGTGCGTACGTAAAGAATGCCGGCTTTATTTGTCCTTTTCGTTGTTTTTTCACTTTACACTCACTGTTTAAAATTTTCCTATTTTTCTCTTCATCGTTCCTTTCAGCTGTAGTCATTTAAACTTCCAGTTTTCTAGACATATACTGTCGCTATATATATATATATATATATATATATATATATATATATAGATAGATAGATAGATAGATAGATAGTCACTTCGACGTTATTTTTAGGGGATACCCATATTTGAGTAGCTGATAGGTTTTTATTTTTAAACAATATATTTATTAACGTCTACTGGCTAGAATATCCGAGAAATCTTATTAAAGATTAATGTACGCCCTGCAGCAAGATTCGAACCTGCGCACCTCTTGGCAGAAGAAATTCAGACATGAAGTGCACTGAGGATCACGTGATAAAATCTGCCGTTTAAATAAATAAATAAAAAAATTACTTCTTTAGAAATTGGTTTGTTTACATTCGGATACGAAACTCAGGAGATATGAAAGAAATTTTCAGATCGATGACGACAACGATTTTATCTTCAGCCTTGCTTCAAAATCTTTATATCCCAATTTGTGCCAACGTTCGCAGTGCAATTAACATCAGGTGTTTTTTAACATCGCTCTTGTGTGTGTGTGTGTGCTTGTGTGTGTCTTAACACACCCACACATCTACACACAGATATATGTATATGAATTAAAATCGAGTTCGCTATATTCACTTTTGTCCAAGTATCTTTGTGCGACCCACGGATACAAATACATCTGTTCTCTTCGTCAGAAGTTCCAGTTAAGAAGCGAACCATGCAGGGGTGTGGGATGGTTCAGGGGGCGGAGTTTTGACTCCTTCCGAAGGCTACATTTTTCTTTAATAAAATTTCTCGAGTAATCAAGACGATAAACGAATAGAAATAGTTTAAAAAACATAAATCACCGTCTATTAAAATACGGCTATCCACTAAAAAATAAATGATAAAAAATATGCCGTTTAATAAAAAAATTAAAAAAAAGCTTCTTTAAAAAATGCTTTGTTTACGTTTCTGAGATGAAAATGAACAATTATGAATTTTCAGGAATCAGAACGCGAAGGATTTGCTCATAAGTCAGAACAGAACTTTTCATGATTGGCAAATCCATTTGTGACCGAGCTGGTTAAAAGCACCTCGCTTGTAACGATGATCTTGCAAAGGCAGGTTGATGTTCGAAACCTGCTGGAGGACATATTGTTTCATTAATAAGATTTATCAAATATTAAAACCGGTAGACGAAAACAGATATTGTTTCAAAAAGAAAAAAAAAGGTAAAATGAGCGTCTTCTCAAATATGCGTTTATATATCAAATTGCTATATCTTTCTCTATATATGAAATATCTGACATATTATCCATCTATCTATCTATTTACACACACAATATATATATATATATATATATGTGTGTGTGTGTGTGTTTTTTGTGTGTCCGTATAACCACTCTGAGTATATATATATATATATATATATATATATATATATATATATATATATATATATATATATATATATATATATATATATATATATATATATATATATACATACACATATATATATTGGTGTATACGGAATGAATTCCAATAACCAACAAATTTTATAGATTTTATATTCAACATCATCACTTGATAAGACAGCGAAGTTGTTTAAAACAATTTTGTAGTGATTTTATAACATATTTTATTATAATTTATTTTTTTTTTAAAAAATAATTATATATATATATAAAAATTTATAGACATGCATATATATATATATATATATATATATATATATATATATATATATATATATATATATATATTCTGTATAACTAATATAACTATATATATATATATATATATATATATATATATATATATATATGTATGTGTGTGTATATTCAGACGAAAGGTTAGGAGTATTTTTGTCTTTATTTTCACCAGAAATTAAACAAACCTTGAACATTAAAACGGCTCATGATCAGGAATAATTGTCTGTTATATTTAACACACACACACACACACACACACACACATATATATATATATATATATATATCTTCATACATTCTCCAACCAGTGTGAACTAAAATGCTTACGCCCGTATATTTGTGTGTCTATGTATGCGAGAGTGTCATCCTAAGATAATGGAGTACATCCGGTCTGGATTAAATAAGACTGACGTACTCGGCGTCAGTTGAAAAAGACTCTCCCCATGAGGTAATTTAAGATTTCTCTGATGTGCAATTCATATGCTCTGTTATAATAAATACATTGAGCTCTTTTCATGGATCAGTTTTAATATTTTGTATTATTAGGATCAACTTGGATTAGAAACCAACGCATTTTTACCTGTTCTATACACACACACACATATATATATATATATGTGTGTGTGTGTGTGTGTGTGTGTATGTGTGTTTGTATGTGTGTGTGTGTAAATGTATATAAATGTATGTGTGTATGTACTTATGTATGTCTCGCCTAAGCAAGCAGCCAACCGAATGATGAAAACATCACAGTGTTTTGAAGTGACTATCAATCGATAGGTCATAACCGATCGATTCCCTTCTTTCAAAATGTCTTGAACTTCGATTCGAAGAACATGTCAACGCTCCGGTGCTGGGAGTCGGTAGAGGTCAAAACGTATATTTCTTGCAAGTTGAATGAATCGATTTGTAAGTACGCATGCCTTGGGACATTGCATTTGCCGGAAGGGAGTGGAGACATGTCGGGGGTGTGGAGAAAGGGGAAATTCGATTCCTCAGTCAGTCGATCGATCCTCTGATGCCTTCAATATCAACGTCTTCACTCCCACACTACTAGACGCCTTATATCCACTTCCAAACCGTTACACTCAGACGCTATCTCAAGCGAGCTGGAAATTAATTAATTCGTTTGAACTTATACATATATCTATATTTTTCGAGTCAGTATAGCGTCAGGAGGAGTGATCTAGTTTAGCGAAAGATTATAACTCTAGAATGAGTTCAGTCCTCCCTGACTTCCTCGTACTTGAGGTCTTAGAAATAACTTGAAATAAAAATGTAGTAGGCCTATGTGTTAGCCTGACATCTTAATCAACCATTACGACTATGTAATGAATTTGAGTCTCCAAGGATTCTCTGTGTCTGAGATCTTGTTCCAAACTATGTTCGTCTTTATGTGCCATGTCCCATCACGACGTATGCGATCATGGATCTCCACAGCTTCCCTGCCCTAGTACCCCTTAATAAATTTGGTATTCTGTTATTTCTCCTGAACCCTGTTCTGCCATCCATTTATTCACGCTCACTACGTCCCCGTGACATACCTGGCAGACTTAAGCAGGTGGATGACAGAACGTTGTCTGCGGAAGGAAGAAGAAAGAGTTGAGAGCTGCAAGGGATAGAGAAAGGCGGAGAGCCATGATCGCCTAAGTCCTGAAAGTTCATGGCACGTAAAAAGAAAGGAAGACGTGTGTTATGCATTGTTTTTCTCTTGATTTCAATCTGCCCTCTGAGTATCAAATTTTCTGCGCCCTCCTACCTCATTATGCATCTCAGAAACCTCAACGCTTTCTTCCTGATGTTAAGTATAAGTTTCCTTTTTGTTTCCATTTTCTCTTAAACTTCGTCGATGCTCACATGTCCAGATCATAATATACTCAGAATCCTTCTGTAGAAACACGTTTCTGCTGCTTCAAATCTCTTCTTCATCTTTGAGGAGATTGTCTTGCGTTCACTGCTATACAGGAGGACGGCTATCCCGTAACAGTTCAGTAGTCTTTTCCTTGTTTCTAGCGAAGTTTTTCTTTTTCTTAATACCTTGCTTAGCTTTTGGAAGGCATCTTTGGCTATCCCAATCCTTTCGCCTTTGGATTTCAGTTTCGCACTTTCTATCCTCTGTTAAAACAATTCCTAGTTATTTAAATTTCTTCACTTGTTTGATTTTGGTATCTCCAATTTGAAGTTCGATCTTTGGGCTCATCCTTTTTTAATAAATATGGATTCTGTCTTCTTGCAGTTGATGCTTAATCCTTTCTTCTCATTTTCCTTGACTAGCTTCTGTAGGAGTTTTTGTACTTTCCTTTCCGTGTCTGCTATCAACACAGTGTCATCTCCATATCTTATGTTGTTAAGATTGTGGCTGCCAATAATGAACCCTGGAAGGACTTCTAGTTTTCTCAGAATGGCCACGCTGTATCGGTTGAATAAGTCCGGTGAGAGGATACATCCTTGTCTGAAAAAACCTTTCTTTGTTTGTAAATCTGCGGAACTCATTTTTAGCCGTATGCAGGC